GTGGTGCCCAGAACTAATCCTGTGTGGAGACAGAGGCAGCAGTCACCTGGGAGGGTTGGAGGTTCTGGAAGACCCACTGTCCTGACAGTTACCACCTCCCCAGCATCCATTTCCTTTCTTCCATGCTAAAGGGTCTCCAAATTTCTCAGCATGTGGTTTGAGTGACCCACCCCTAACCCCAGATCTAGAAGTGGATTGGTTGAAGGCCATTAACCTAATTCTTGTTACAGTGAACTGGTTTAGGAGTGGAAATGTAGTGTGAGTGGATTCAACAAGAGGCAGCCCAAGGTTATGGAGAAAGAGAACCCCTTCCCCTTGAGATGCGAATGAGGAAGACGACCCCTGTTAATTCTTTTGTGATGGTGAGAGGAGCTCCCTTAAAATAGTAGCTGACACTGGGAAGGTCCACAGAGAGACGGGAGCAAATGAATGTTTAGTGAAAACGTTCACCTGGATTAGACCCCATCTGAAGCCTGTTCTGCCTCCAAGATCTTTGGTTCTTTTTATAGATTAAGCCTGAGTTTGGTCTTCTGTTACCTGGAACTAAACTAATGTGCATTGACACACCTATCAAATCAAAGTATTGTCTTTTGCTGTTCTGCTCTGATCCTGGAAACACCCACTGAAAGAATCACTGGTCTGGGAAAAATTGTGGTACCCAAAGACCTCAAGAAGCACTTAGAAGCATTACTCCTGAAGTCCCATTCATCCCAAGAAGAGTTGCTGGGTGGAGGAGACAATGTGTCAACATGTCATGACAAGATGGTATGGTAAGTGCTGTGTTTGTGTGTTGGAGGCAGGCATAGCCGTGCTCATAGTGAGGAATGAGTTAGAAGCTCAATCACAGCCCCATGTTGCCTTCCACCATTTGGGTAAAAGAAGGAAAATGCCTTCAAATTGTGATGTAAGCTCTGCCCAGAGGATTCTGGGAAGGTTTTAACCAACAGGATTTGTAAGGCATTGACCACCCACCGAGCAGCGTTCTAGGTGGTGGAGACACCGTGGTGAGCAAAGCAAAGGCCTTGCATGCATGGATCTTTCATTCCAGGTGGGGAGGCCAACAAATAACACATAAGCAATAAGCAATTGATGACAGGAGAGAATACAAATGGCATGAAGAAAAATAATACTAGTGAGGGCAGTTGAGAGCAGGGCAGAGGGAAAACCTGTCTAGGGAGGTAACAGTGAAGAAGAGACCTGAGGAGGAGCACGATGTGAACCACAGAGCCACGTTGGAGAGAATGCTGCAGGCAGAGCAAATAAAAGAACATAGGCCAAGAGCTGGGGCGACAGGTATGATATTAGAGGCTGGGGTTGGGGAGCAGAGGTCGGGCAGAGTGAGTGAGGGGCAGGAAGCAGAGAAGGTCAGAGGTTGGTTAGTGGGTACCATGTCCTGGGATGTGGTCTTCAAGGCCATGGTGAGGACCCTGGATTTTACTCTGATGAGTAAGGGCCTATGGAAGGTTTGAAGGCATGGCACAATTTGAGGTATGATTTAACCCTCCCGCCCTCCTGCTGCCATATGAGAAAAGACTCATATGGTTTAGTGAGTTGAATGGTGGCTCCTCTAAAAGATATGTCCACATCCTAACTCCCAGAATCTTTGAAGGTGACCTTATTTGAAAAAAGGTCTTTGCAGATGTAATTAAGAATCTCGAGACAAGGTCATCTTGGATTATCTGGATGGGCCCTAAGTCCATGACAAGTGTTCATACAAAAGACAGAAAAAGAGAAGATGGCTGGTCGGAGAAGGCCATGTGAAAATGGGTGCAGAGATTGTAGTCTAATAGCCACAAGCCAAGAGACCTCTGGCACCACCAGAAGCATGTAGAGGCAAGGAAAGAGACTGTCCTAGAGACTTTGGAGGAACCTGCTGATGGCTTGGTTGCAGACTTCTGGCTTCTAGAACTGTGAGATAATAAATTTCTGTTGTTTTGAGTCATCATATTTGAGATAATCTGTTATGGCAACATAAGAAACATATAGGAGGCAGGAGTGAAGCAGGGAGGTCTGGAAAAAAGCTATTGCAAAAATACAGGTGAGAAATGAAGCTACCTTGGCCTAGGGTGGGAGCAGTGATGGGGCAAGAGGCTGTCCCACTGTGAAGGTAGGCTTTGCTGAGGGATTAGATGTGGGGTGTGAAGGGAAGGAGTCAAGGAGGACTGTGATATTAAGAGTGTTAGCCCGAGTAACTGAAGGGTGGAATTGACATCTGAAAGGGGGAGACTGGGAGAATCAGGTTTGTGTCATGGGGAAAGCCAGGGTTTGAGATGCCTATTAGAAACCAAGTGGCTATGTCAAGCAGGTAAGTGAATATGAGAGCCTGTTACCTGGACTGGCTATACATACCTGGGCATCGTGGGCATAGTGATGGCACAAAAAGCCAACAGCACGGATGAGCATGCCAGGGAGTGAGAGTAGACACAGAGGAGGCGTAACAGGGATGGAGAACTTGGATACACCCATGTTACAAGGTTAGAGAGGTGAGAAGGACCTGGAAAAGGAGACCGAGAAGTTGCAGCAGGAGAGGTAGGAAGAAAACCTGGTAAGCGTGGAGTCCCAGGAGCCACGTGAAGGGGGGGTCAGTCAAGATGAGTGGAACACAATAGCAATTTTATCATTCAGTACTCAGATTAAAAGTTTTGTCACACAAGGATCTTGATTTGTCCCATTTCTTCTTGCCAACCTTGAGGACATAAACAAATGTATTGTGACTGCCATTTCAATCATTCAACTATAATATGCTACTCAGGTCTGGGACAAGTACCTACCAGTGTCAACAAGTCCATGTGACATGAGGGATGCATATTGGCCACTTGTAAGATGAGAGAAATATCTGTTTAAGCTCATTGAGGAATAAGTGTGGACTACCTCTTCATGCGTAATCTAGGGACTGAGTAATGCATTTTTTAAAGTGTTTGATTCATTCTGGATCATGCTACATTTCAAGAGGAAGAAGTGGTCTTCAGTGTCAAATGCTACTGAGAGATGAAGGCAGTGAGGGATGAGCATTAACCACTGATTTGGGCATTGACACTGGAAAGAGCAGTCTCGGGAAGCTGAAAGCCTGACTAGAGTGGATTTAAGAGAACGGGAAGGGAGAGACTGGGCACTTGGAATTCCATGAACCTTTTAGAAAGTCTGCTCTGTGAAGGGGAGCAAAGAAATATGAGAGTAGCTGGAGGAAAATGAAGGATTAAAGTATAGAAACATTTCGTTCTTAAGGTAAAATAGCAGTGTGTTTGTAAGACGAAGGGAAAGACCCAGCAGAGAGGGAAAAGCTAATGATTCAGGAATCCGGGGGTTTAATTGCTGGAACAATGCCAGAGGAAGAGAGCGGTGACGGGCTGCAGGGCCCAAGGGGAGGGGCTGCCCTTGCAAAGAGTCCATTTAGTGAAAGAAGAAAGGCAGGAACATGGGCACAGATGCAGTGAAGGTGAAGGAGGAAATGTTGGAAGCTGGAGGACAAAGAAGGCACAGAGAATTGTCCCCCAGGTGAGAGGGAGAGGACCTGCCTAGGGAAGGATTGCTAGACAGAGTGAAGGGGCATTTCGGGCTTTGACAGCTTAAGTAGGGCCAGTCAACACAGCTGGGGGTGTTTCTCCAGCCACGTTCAGCTGCTAGGAGCAGGCACAGAAGAAGTGGGAAGTTGAGCTTCCCTAGGCTTGGGGATTTTGCTAGGCTACAGTAAAAAAGGAAACATGGGCACTGTGGTCAAGGGTATATAAAAGGCAGTGATGAACCAAGGAATTAACTAGGCAAGGAGGAGAGGTCCTCTTGGTGGTCAGGTCAATGATTGGAAGTCCAGGTGGGTCTTTAAGATTGCAAGAGTTGGGTTAATAGAGGGTCTACACTGAAAAGGGAGTGGCCTGTGGGTAGCATGTTTGAAATTGGTGTTATAAAGCAAGTGCAGTGTGGCAGTGAATTCAGGCTGCCATAACAAAATACCACCGACTGGGTGGCTTAAACAACAGACATTTATTTCTCATGGTTCTGGAGGCTGGAAAGTCCAAGATCAAGGTGCCAGCGAGGTGGGTTTCATTCTGAGATCTTTTCTCTTGGCTTGCAGGCGGCTGCCATCTTGCCCTATGCTCACATCTTCTCCTGTTTCTGTGCACAGAGATGGGGGAGTGGAGAGCGAGTGTGAGCTCTGGAGTCTCTTTTTATAAGGGTGCTAATCTCATCACGAATGCCCCACTCTCATGACCTCATCTGACCCTACTCACCTCCCAAAGGCTTGACCTCCCAATACCATCACATTGGGGGTTAGGTTTTAGCATAAGAATTTTAGACAGGTATAAACAGTCAGTCCATGACATGCAGTTATTGCTAATGACGAGGTCTGAGCATTAGTCAGATGGGTTGTGGACTGAAGAACAGGGTTATTGGAGGCAGGAGGCTGAGGAACTAAGAGCGAAGTATTGGGAGAAGCGTCTTCATGGCATCGAAATCACTCAGCGTCACAGCAGGACTGGCTTTTGGAAAGACAGAGAGAGATGCAGGTGCTAAATCTTCAAAAATGGAGGGAGGTGAGTGGATGCTGCCGTCTCTAGAGTTTCTAGGGGTCAGTGCGTGAAATGATTAGGAGGCTGGACTTTAGTGCCAACTTCCTGAAATTGAATCTTTAAAAAAAATTAAGTATTTTAAGGGGACAAAAATGGTATATATTCCTCCTGTACAACATGATGTTTTGAAATATGAAGACATTGTGGAGTGGCTAAATTGAGCTAATTAACATATCCATTACCTCACATACTTACTATTTTTTTGTGTGGTGAGAACACTTAAAATCTACCCTCTTAGTGATTTTCAAGAACACAATACATTGTTATTAACTATCATCGTGTTGTACAGAACATCTCTTGAACGTATTCCTCCTGTCTGATGAAAATTTTGTCCCTCCTCCCCCTTCTCCCGCAGCTTCTGGTTACCATTCTACTCTCTTCTTCTGAGTTTAGCTTTTAAAAATTCCGTATCAATGAGATCATGCCATATTTAACTTTCTGCGTCTGGCTTATTTCACTGAGCATAATATCCTCTAGGTTCATCCATGTTGTCACAAATGTCAGATTTCCTTCTTTTGTAAGGTTGAAGAGTGTTCCATTGTGTATCTGTACCCCAGTTTCTTTATCCTCTCATCCGTTGATGCAGGTTTAGGTTGATTCCATAGCTTGAGTATTGTGAACAGTGCCGCAGTGAACATGAGGGTGCAGATGTCTCTCTGACTTACCCTGAGCCTGACTCTTATCCTGTGATTTTTGGCAAATGACTTAACCTCTGTGTATCTCAGCTTCCTTATTTGTTAAGTGAGGATGACAATCATGCCTACGTCACGAGGTTTTGTGAGGTTTAGATGAATTAATGAATGCAAAGTGCTTGAAAAGGAGCCTGGCATGTCATGAACATCCTAAAACGTTACTGTTATGTTGTAAGAGTGTACCACGGTAGGGGCAGGGGAGGGGCTGGGTGGTCTGGCCCAGTAGCATGAACTTCAAGGTTCATGAGCCTTTCTAGGAAGGTGGGAGGGAGAAAAGCCTGTCTCCTCCATCTCCAGGCCAGTGGCACCAGGAGTTTTCGGGAGAGAATGGCCATCCTTAAGCAAGCAGCAGAGGAAGTGGAGCCCACTGGGCTTTGATTAAGGGCAAGAAGGTGAAGAGGAGATCTGGCGAAGAGGCTGAGGACAGTGAACTTTGCTGTATATGGGCAGCGAAAGCCATTGGCTCTGTGGAGAGGCTAGGAGACTGGGGAGGGTAGTGGGCTTGAGTCACAGCAAGATGTGTACAGAGATCCTTTGGGATGAAAGGCCAGGTGACGGGAATGGCTGGGAGTCACGGACTCCGGGTGACGGTCCCAGCATGATGGAATTTCTCTTGGCGATTCCTTAGACTGTGGTGTTGAGATGAGAACTGCCATTGTGTGTGCGGTGGTGGCGGCAGAGGGGCTGTCTGGCCAAAAGCATGCAGAGCTCAGTGGGTGTCTACAGCTGAGCAAAGGATGAGCACATCCCAGGAGGTGGAGTTAAACGTCACTGCAGATGGACAAGGGCATGGGAGGGATTAGAGCTGCGACTGGTAGGCTATTGGGGGTCAGACTGTGAAAGGTCTGACCTCGTACAATTTTTAAAGTGCAGGCCTTTAGCCAGAGAGTCAGATCTGTGCTTTAGGACATCACCCAGGATGAGGGTAGGTGGTAGGTGTTCAACAGAGAGAAATCCGAGTCAAAGAGACCAGTTAGGGGGCAGCTGCAATAGACTTGGCAGCAGATAATAAAAGTCAGAAATCAGTAGGCGGAGGTAACAGGAGAATGGAGGGTCGGGGAGCAGACTGGAAAGAAAATTCAGAAGTAGAATCTATTCCCTGGAGATATTCGAAATCCCTGAGCAAACAGGACCCAGTAGGGTTGTTGGAACTCAAAGATGCTGGTAGGAGACAGAAAAATGGATTAAGAATGTGGAAACCTGGCTCTAGATGCAGCTCAGTCACCAAGTCAGTAAGTTGCTGCCTTTAGCGATTCTCCTGAGCTTTCCAGTGCCTCAGTTTCCCTAACCCTTCCATTAGCACAAGAAGGACATTTCCAGCTTCCTCTGGCACTTCAGCAAGGGGAAGTGCGTGGATGCTATATTGTTAGGCATTTGAGCACTTCAGTGAAAGATACTTTTTATATGCATAGTGGGGGTCATCTCAAGGCACCTGTGTGTCCTTTACCTCATTTAATGTTCATGAATCTGTCAGTCAATTGAGGCGGATGATGATGATGACAACAAAGATGATGATGAAGGTAGCTGACGTTCACAGTGTGCTTGTTGAGTACCAGTCACCCATACACCCATCGACAGTCTTATTCAATTCTCACAGTAGTCCTTTGGGGTTCACAGTATTATGGGCTCCATTTTAAAGATCAGAAAACTGAAGCTTGGAAATACTGAGCAAATTTCCTGAAGATGTACACTTACTAAGGGCCTGGAACAGGGTTTTTAACTCAGGCAGTTAATTAACCATTTCTGCCGTGTATGAAGGATGTGTAATGTCATCATTCTTGTAGATGAGGGGTGGGCAGGCCAAATCCAGCCCACTGATTGTTTTATAAATACAGTTTCTTGGAATCCAGCCACACCCATTTATTTATGTGTTATCCACTGCAGCTTTCCTGCTACAATGGCTGAGTTGAGTAGTCACAACAACGTTGCCTGACCCACAAAGCATAAAATCCTTATCAACTGCCCCTTTGCAGAACCCTAAGCTAGACTATTCTGTTTTTTGTCTGTTTCTTTTTTCTTCTCCTATCTGTTTTTTTCTCTGTCTCTCAGCCATCTGATAATACATAAAATATGAAAGTAAAGGGGATTCTTCCTAATGCAGCATTCTGTGTTCTTGGATATTTTATCAGTGCCAGATTGAGAAAGACAGAGCCGTTGATGTGTCATCAGTGAGCCTTTTGATGAGGTCCACTGCTAAAGTAATCATGAGGATAGAAAGTGACACCAAATTCCCATAAAGTATTTATTATCCACCCACTGTGTTCCAGACACTAGTCTAAAAATTGCTGGGGAATATTTAGAATTAATGGGGAATTTTCTCCATTTGCAAAGTGAAGGGATTGAAATGAGAGGAGCTGGATTCAGGTCCCACCCATCTGGAGCACATTCTAAGCCATCCTTTTGAGAAAGCCCTGGTCTCTAAGCAGAGGTCATGTGTATACAAGTGGCCCATATGACCTAATGGGCCAGTGAGGGACTCCTTTCCAGAGATCAACTTCATAAAGTGGGATCATATGACAAACATGCAGGTACTTGGTCTTAGGAAATGTATTTTGACTTTTCTGGTCACAGTAAGGGGACAGAAGGAGCCCCACATTCTTTCCTGACACGCTTGACAAAAACAAACTCAGCTAGAGGTGGCCAGCAATGGAGGGGCATCCTGTATTAGGACTTGGATGAGGAGTTGTAGTGTCACCCCCCGGCCACTAGAGGACTTCATCCCATTTCAGTGGAGGAAGGCTTGTTAGGGCCTCTCTACACTGGCGGAGGTTTGCTCATTTTCCCTTCACTTGATTTCTGCCAGTGGCCTTATGTGTGGATGCTTCATGAGATGTCAAGTATCTGAAGAGCCTGTGACACAATCATCCAGTGGTGAATTGCTGAGGAGTTCCTCTCCAGCCTGCTCGACTCTGAGGTTAAAAGAGTCTTCATGTTAAGCACAAATCATCTCTTTGCACTTTCACCAGTTGTGTCTGAAAAACACAGAGGTCTGTCTCACTTCCTCATCACAGTCCCTTCCAAGAAGCCCCACAGTGGGGAAGACACAATGAAATGGCTTATAGTCATTCAACAACACGTAACACTCTTCCAGTGCTAGACACCATGACAAGTGCTTTACAATCACTAACTTACTTGATTCTCAGAGTCACTTTATAAGTCAGGTGGATGGGATATGGCCCCTTTTACAGATGGGTAAAGTGAGGTACAGAATAGTTACAGAACTTGCTGAAAACTATGCACCTATTAAGTGGTTGGACTGGGATTTGAACTCAGGCAATCAAGATCCAGAGTGCACGCTGTTAACCAGCATGCTCTGCTATCGTGCCTCCCAGGAGATGGGCCAGATAAACAATGACATATTTTTAAAAACATCCTATTTTCTTTTCACTGTATGCACATAACAGAACATTTGGAAAATCACAAAGAAAAAATAAAAGAAAAAATTACCCACAGTCTTACCACATCACCACAATCACAGCAAAGATTCTAGTGTTTTTGCCTTAATTTTTTAATGTGCATATGTGTTTTTCATATCTTTGTGCATGCAATTTGAATCCTACTTTCCACTTAACATATAATGTCCTAATGTTATCACACAATTTTCATAACCACTGTTTTAAATATTGCAAGAATGTGTGCATGTGGTGACATAAAATTCTAGGGGAACAGTTAAACAAGAATGTCCAAAGGAGGAAGAGAGCAGTACAAATTGTCAAAACAAGGATGTAAAAAACAAAAAGGATGCCTGTGGAAACTCTGGGCTTGTGCAATGACAGAAAAGGCCACTACGCTGACACATCATGTCAATGGCACTGAGCTGGGAGGTGGCAGTTAGGAATCTTGTGCCTCATGGCGTCTGGGGACTAAAAATAGCTCTGTAAGGTGACAACATGTGGCAAAGACTTGGGGGAGGAGAACAGGGGTTTGTGTTGCGCTGTGCTGTGGTATGCTGCATTAGAGCTGCAGTGAGAAGGCCTGCATCCCAATTACAGCTTTATTCACTGTGTGACCTTGGATAGTTCACTTCTATGGGTATCAGTCTCCTTCTCCTATCTCATGGGAACATTAAGAGTTCTCATGAAGAACCGTGGAAGAATACGAACTATATCATGTGTCAGGGATGCTTTTGGTTGCAAGTAACTGCAAACTTGATTTCGAGTGGATGAAGCAATAAAGTCTTTTAATGAGCTCCCTTCATAAGAAGTTTGAGGGTGAGGAGACTAAGGCTAGCAAAAAAGCTCAACAATGTCATCAGGAAAACAGGCTTCTTTCTCTTTGTGATTCACAATCCTTGGGTGTAGTTTTTCTTTCTTTCTTTCAAGTACTGTTATTTCAATGACTAGTTCTGTCTGGAGTGACACTGACCCTTCCTTATGAAAGCCCAGCTTCAGAGAGAAACTCTTGTTCTATCTGATAAGTAAAAGTGCCCTATCTCCCTAAGAGGCTTCTTAAAAGGGCGAGGAATCTTCTCTGTGAAGGTAATTCCCCAGCGCATGCTCAGAACCACTTCTAACACCATCCACTGCTTTCTCACCTGGGAAACATACATGGTGGCTTCTGTAGCTTTGTCTAGGGCCTTCTCTGCAGAAAATGTACCTTTATACTAGTTGTCAAAATTAATATTTATCTTGTCTTGTGATTATTTAGTGAATGCTGGTCTAATCCTCTAGCCTATAAGCCCTATGAGATCGGAAACTTCATCTGTTTTGTCCATTATTCTAACCCCAGAGCCTAGGACAGTTCTTGGCTTGTGGTAGTTGTTCAGTATATATCCATCGAATGAGTGAATCAGAGTCTTCCATAGCCTGAGAGCCTGTGATTATTTTTGCCTGCATATGTGACTATCACAGAATCTGTTTGCTGAGTCACAGTGACCTGTTATCCCACCAAGCTCTCTCCCTGACCAATAAAAAACATTTACTTTGGAAGGCACTCCATGATCTCAGATTTCATAGCAGATGCTGTTGGTGCTTTTTCTCTATCCACCCTAGGCTACCTGAGTTCACCTGTGGTAGGGGACAACAGTTTTCAGTTCACTGACAGAGTCCCATCTCCAGCTACTTGAGGTCTTTCTCTGGGGGTGTCATCACTTCCAGGGGAAAACCTCAACCAGTTGGGGTGAGAGTAGTTGGATAATTGCCCAGCCCCCCATCCTCCAATGGGCCTAGGCTGAGCCATGTTCCACGTGGACTCTGAAGAGCCTACAGCAGGACGGAGCTCCAAGCTGTCATCTATCCCTTGCTGGCTCTTCTCCCTTCCTTGTCTCACTTGTCTCACTCTTCCTTTTGTTTCTCCTGAAGTAAACTTTTATGATGTAGATATCTGACTTCTATGATATTTAGATAAACTTGGGACTTTAGAGTTGATGCTAGAACCAATGACGTCTGTTGGGGCTGTTGGGATTGAATGAATTTTGTATGTGAGAAGAACACACTTTTTGGAGGGCCAGGAGTGGAAGGTTATGGACTGAATGTTTATGTCCCCGGCCCCAATTTATTTGTGAAAACCCTAACCCTCCCGCTCATGCGATGGTATTTGGAAGGGGGGTCTTTGGGAGGTAATTAGGGTTATATGAGTTCAGGAGGGTAAGGGACTCCATAATGGGATTAGTGTCCTTCTGCAAAGAGGAAGAAACACCAGAAGGCATGCACACTTTCTCTGACAGATGAGGACATAGCAAGAAGGGGCTGTTTGCAAGTTAGGAAAGGAATCTGCCAGCACTTTGATTTTGGATTTTCTAGCCTCCAGAACAGTGAGAGATAAAATTCCAGTTGTTTAAGTCACACAGCCTATGGCAGTTTGTTATGGAAATCTGAGCTAACTAAAACATTGTATCTAAGTCCTTTCTGAAAATCCTTGGACATTCCTCCTACTGAAGGTGGGATCTATGTCCCCTCCCCTTGAATCTGTGCTGGGACTCACTTATAACCAATAGGATGCAACAGAGGTAATGCTGTGGATGGTGTCAAAACTCTTTGACATTTGCTACAAAAAGGGAAGCCTAATGCCCTTTCCCCTGCCTGTGGCCTTAGCGACTCATTTCTACTAAATAGAAATAAGTGAAAATGATGGGGCATGACTTCAAAGACTAGATTTAAAAAGGCACTGCAGTTTCCTGCACTCTCTCTCTCTCTCTGCTCTTGGGGAAACTGGCTGCCATGCTTTTAGGATACTCAGGCAGCACATGGAGAGGCCCACGGGGTGAAGAACTAAGGCCTTCTGTCAACAACCCTGAGGAACAGAAGCTTCCTGCCAACAGCCATGTGAATGAGTACCTTGGAATCAGATCTTCCAGAGTTGGTCAAACCTTCTGATAATTGCAACCCTTGCTGATATATCAACTGCAATCTCACAAGAGACTTTGAGTCAGAGGCAGGCTGCAGAGGGACTCCTGAATTCCTGATCCATGGACACTGTATGGTCCTAAAGATTTGTTGTTTTAAGCTGTTAAGCTTTGAGATAATTTGTTATGCAGTGATAGATAACTAATAAACTCTGCTCTTTCTGAAGCTAGGTCAGAAAAAGCATTGAGTTTCTGCCTGGTTCCCTCCCCTTGGATCTGAGCCTTGAATGTAACTGGCTTGCAATCAGTCCAGCAATCGTGATGCCTTAATTTCTGAGGTTGGATCAGAAAGGGCTGTGCAGCTCTGCCAAGCATTTCGGGATACTTCCTCTGGGAGAAGTCAGCCACTGTTTAAGACATTGGATGCCATGAGATTGCCATGTGTAGGTGAGATTGCCAGTGTAGGTACTCTGGCACCTCTGCTGAGAACTCAGCAGATAACCAGCAGATAACCTCAGCCATGGGAGTGATCGTGTGGGATGTGCAGCCCGGCCAAGCCTGCAGATGACTCCAGCCTCAGCCAACATCTCACTGCAACAAATGAGAGACCCCTGGCAAGAACCACTCAGCTAATCCCTTCTTGAATTCCTGATCTGTGAAATCATGAGGAAAATAAAGTAGTCATCCTAAGCCACTGTGTCACACACAGATAGCAACTGGAGTAGTCAGCCTTTGAAGAAAACCAAACTAAGAAGACTCATACACAGTCACTGACTAGGTCCTGTTCTTTGCTTATGAAAATATTAAGCTTCATGAGAAGTGCTCCCAAGGGCTTTGCCATGCCCACTATTTAGATGGCAAACCCCACCAAGTAGAAAGTTTTAGGTATGTGCCCCTCCACATACAATATAAAACAAAATAGAAATTAAAAGAGAATAAAAATAACTAGAAGTGCGCAAGACCAGTGATGGTCAGGTTTCCTCTCTCAGACATGTGCACTTCACCCTGGAGACCACGCCTCTTGTTTCAGATATGGAGACAGGCAACCTTGACCTGCAACATACAACCCCAGTGTTTTCACTTGGTGCTCGACTTGTGGAGGGATTTAAATTTCCAACCACTTTTTGGACTAAAAGTGGTTTTCATAAATGAAATGTATGCTCATCATAAAAGTATAGATATGGTAGGCCGGGCATGGTGGCTCATGCCTGTAATCCCAGTACTTTGGGAGGATAAGGAGGGCAGATCATGAGGTCAGGAGATCGAGACCATCCTGGCTAACATGGTGAAACCCTGTCTCTACTAAAAATACAAAAAATTAGCAGGGCATGGTGGCACATACCTGTAGTCCCAGCACTTGGGAAGCTGAGGTAGGAGAATCACTTGAACCCCGGAGGCAGAGGTTGCAGTGAGCCGAGATCGTGCCACTGTACTCTAGCCTGGCAACAGAGTGAGACTTTGTCTCTAAATAAATAAATAAAATAAAATACTCTAGAGGAATGTATGAAGTGAAAGATGAGTCCCTTTCCTCTCCCAGCAATGCTATGGGTTGAATTGTGTCTCCCATTCAAGTTCAAATGTTGAGGTCCTAACCCCCCTGAACCTCAGAATGTGACCTTATTTGGAGACAAAGTCTTTACAGAGGTCATCAAATTAAAATGAGGTCATCAAGGTGAGCCCTAATCCTATATGACCGATGTTCTTATCAAAACGGGAAATCTGGACACAGACTTACATAGACGGAAGACAATGTAAAGAGACATAGGGAGAAGATGGCCATCTACAAGCCAAGGAGAGGCACCTGGAACAGATTTCTCCCTCAGGGTCCCTGGAAGGAGCCACCCCGGCTAACACATTGATCTCAGACTTCAAGGTTCAGAACTGCTAGAAAATACATTTCAGCTGTTTCAGCCACTCAATGTGTGGGACTTATTATGGCAGCCTTAACAAACTAATATAAGCAGTTTCCTGTGTCCTTCCAAAAAAAAAAGTCTGACTATACCCGTCTTTGTGTACATGATTTTTCTTACATAAATGGATCATTTAACAATGCTTTTCTACACAAGGAATTATTCACTTTCAATTTATTGCACTAATCT